CAGTCCCTCCAGAAGTTCCCTGACTAGGTCCTTACTGACCCTAGGCCTGGGTGCACCTCCCCTGGGACCTACAGGGGTCCCAGGGGTGGGGGGGTGACCTGGTCCCTGCTTAGAAAAATGGAGGCGAAGAAATCGTTACATAGGTTAGCTTTGCTGTCTGGTGCAACGACCAGATTTCCTAGTGTGTCTTGCAGGGGCCCCACATTACCCAGTACCTTCTTTTTACCCCCTATGTATTTAAAAAAGGACTTCTTGTTGTCCTTGATCTGGGTAGCTAGTCCCAGTTCCATCTCTGCCTTGGCCTTCCTGACCGCCCCGCTACAGCCCCGAGCAACCGAGGTATAGTCCTCCCTGGTGATGGCCCCTCCCTTCCACTGGGTGTACGCCTCCTTTTTAGCTAGGAGACATTCCCTTATGCTTTTGGTGAGCCATGGAGGCTTTTGCGCCCTCCTGCCCCCTTTGATCCGCATTGGGATTACATCCCTTTGGGCTTGGAGGATCGCCTCCTTAAGGAATGACCACTCTTCTTGGACACCTGTCTCCCCTCCCCTCCAGACCCTCAGTGCCTCCCCGACTATTCTCCTTACCTCATTGAAATCCGCCCTCTTGAAGTCCAGGGCTGCTGCCTTGCTGCATGCCTTTGCCACCTTGCGCTGGATGGTAAATTCCAGCAGCCAATGATCACTGTCGCCCAGGTGGTCAAACACCCGCAGGCCCCTCACCAGGTCATCACCCATGGCCAGGACCAGATCCAACAAAGTGTCTCCCCAGTGGGGCTGTGCACCTCTTGCCTTGTTTCAACTTGCCTTGTTTTGTTTTGAGGCTGTTTCGACCATATCTTTTCCATTTTGATTTTGCTGTTTTGACCTCGAAATGGGTCGAAACAGCGTTGAAACAAAACTGGTAGTGAAATTTCACACAGCCCTAATGATTAGCCTGAAATCACCATTTTTAAGGTGCATTAAGGGCACAGGTCTACACATGTGTGCCGTTAATGTGTCTTAAAAATGGCAATTTAAGGTTAATCACATCTAAATTTGATACTTGCATAAAGCAGGTATCAAATTTAGGTATGAATAGTTAAGATGCCGTAAGGGACATGTGGATGCCTTAAGGTGACAATGCTGTGTATGTCAACTGAGCAGGCTGGAGCCGAGACCATGGGGCCCTGCGCTGCTGCTGGGTGCCACCAAAAAGAAGAAGCAGGAGGTGCTGTTCTCCAAGGCACAGATGCTTGAGCTGAAGCAGTGGTTCCAGCAGCAGTGGTACCTGTCGGTGTGCCAACTGACTTGTCCTGCTCTCAACTAATGCTGGACTGGAGGCTCCCACCAACTTGGCTGGCGCTGGGCTGCACTGCCCGGCTACGCTACCATGGGCTTTGGAGCATCAGCAGGCGGCTTAGTACTCCACAGCCAGTCCCAGCACTGGGTGCAGCTGCCTCGAGTCACTAGACATGGCCTGGGGGCTTGTCTGCTCACTTGGAGCAGAGCCACCCTTGGCTGTGGTCCAGTGACCCCGGCTCTGCATGTGCAGCTGACAGACCCTGTGGCCCCTGGGCATGCCCTGCACCTTTTTCTGCACTCTGGCCAGGAATGCATTCATTGTTCTCACTGCCCCATGACACTTTCCTAGCATGGCACCCACCTGCCTCCCATAGGCCCTGGAGTGGCTGTGCATTCAGGGTGTTGTCCAGGGTGCTGCTCAAGGCAGGCTGCAAACACGTTCGCCCAGCGATCCACATTAAGGCACCTTAAGGTGTGCATGTGTAGACACATGCCTAAACCACCTTAATGCGCCTTAGGCTAAGAGGCATTAAGTTTAGGTGCACGTAAATTCACATGTAGACATGCCCAGTTTGGAAGTGCTGCCTGAGCTACAGTAACTTAGGAGTTATTGTATCCCCTAGCCCCTACAATGTTCTCTGACTTAAATGATTTCCTCCTAGTATAAGAGCTGGTTGGGAAAGTTTCAACTAAATGCATCAAACCTCGCACTCTTTGCAGGAATGCAGTGGTCTTGATATTCTTTTTATTTTAAAACAGTATGGAAAAGCTTTTTAAAATATCAGAATGTTTCTTGTCTACAGCTTTGAAAGAAAGAATCTGGATTTGTAGTTCACAACAAACTTCCATTTCAATAGTTAAGCTAATTATAGAAAGAATAATTTAAAAAGCAATAAAAGGGGTCAAAATCAAAATAAAATACTTCAAAATCAGAAAGAAAATTCTCAGTTGATCCAAAGTGACAGTACTGATTTTCACCTGGAAAACAGGATTTATGTGTTGCTGTTCTTCTTGCTGTTTTATTATTTATTTATTTACTAATATTTTGTCCTAACATGAGATGGGAAAATTTTGAAAATCTCAAAGATGTTCAAGGGGCAGGAAAACTAAGTCCCAGGCCACTCAGGTCCCTGCATGTCTTCTGTGCCCCTGGTAGAGCAAAGAGATGCCCTTTTTGTGCAGGCTTCATCTTTCATTTACTTCTTGAGAAATAGGTGTGTTTTCTTTGACCCATTTGGCTCATTCTTTTAAGAAACCTGCTCCTTGGTGTGTAAGAACTGTACGTAGCTGTTCCTTCTTCCCTGCAAGTCAAACACTCTCAGGGACCTCAGAACAGAGGAGATGAAGTAGGATATACCCTCCTCCAGAGACAATCCCAAGGGAATGTCTTCCTTAATGGTTATAACTTCAGGAAAACACTCTAGATGCCATCTTCTGCACCTGGCCAGAGGAGTAGAAAGTCTGACCTGTGGAAAAATGGTTCCCTTCAAGTTCAATAGAAAGTCACTTCTCTACTGAGCCCTGGCTGGAATGCAGGCGCCACAGAGACCTGCAGATAAAAAATTAATTTACCAATGAATGACATGCTCTTTCATTATTTTGCAGAAAAATGAATGGCTGTGTTTGAACTGCCAAACTCAGAGGCTGCTAGAAGGAAGCCTAGGAGATCCTGCACCGATGCCACTGCCTGCTCCAAAGCAACAGCCAACAGGATCACCCCGACACCAACCAGTGGGAACCAATCAGCAACAGAGAGGAGTAACACCTCAGCAGTCACAAACAACAGCTCCTCCAGACAGGCACCTCTCCAAGACAACTCCCCAAGTCAAGAATCTCAGGTCTTCAGAGCAGACCATAGTCCAAGAGAAAAAGCCTCTTGTTTCAACAGAAGAAAAGCCACTATCAAAGCCTCCTGCTGACTCTCCAAAAGTTCCTGAAAGTCCAATGCCAAAGGGGAAAAGCACAGCATCAAAGCCAGAAGTAGACAGCAAAGAAAGCAAGACAATCATTGACGCTCAGAAAGTGAGAGAGCAAGAGGTAAGCACTCCTTGTCCCAGCATCCACTGGGCTGCCCTGTTTATCATACAACGTAGCCACATTCTCTCAGAAGGGAATATACCCCCTCACCTATAGGGAAAATCCTGTGGGGTGCCAGTAGGTAGGAGTCAGAGGGCAGTGCTAAGAAATAAAAAAAAGTGGTAGCTTCAGGAAACAGTGGATTAGCCTTCAAGTATATTTTCAACAAGGTGATGGGAAAAGTGTATATAAATGGCCATTCTAGGGAAAGCAATGTCTCACTGCTCATCAGAAATTTTCAGTGTTAATCTAGCCAATCTAGATTTCTATGCTGGCTCTTCAGGTATTGTTACACAATACAGTCTGTTTATATAGCACCCTTCAGACACTGTATGGTCAGTGCTGGTTTAATGCAAAATAGCAATATTTTGACATTTATTTTTGTTCCAGATTAGAAAAAAATATTTTTTCCCCCATAAAATGGATTTGTAGAAAAAAATGGCTTTAGGAAATTTTCATTTGGAAACCTCAAAATGTTATTTAAATTGGTATTGGCCTTTTCATGTTTATAGTATTTTTATTATTTCTTCATTATCTAGAAATATGTTTTTATCTTATTTTTAAAACCATTATGGACAGCTGCTACTCAGTACTGCTTGAAATATCTTACCTTCTTTTCTGGCTCAAAATGTCGCCTATTTGTGCTGTAACAACACTGTTGTTCTGATTTTTTTTTTTTTTAATATTTTATTCCTTGGGGATTTTCCTAGAAATCTAAACATGTTTATAAAAATGTTGAGTTTTGTCTAAACAGCCTTTTCCAACAGAGAGCTATTTCAATGAAAATTCTACTACAGTGTGCTCTCATCCCAAGTTAGCTCGCCAAGAGAGTCAGCAACATGCTATGGAGAGAGGAGAATGCAGGTGTGATTTACTGGAGAAGTGCCCTGGGGCCTGATTCCCTCTCACACTACACTACCTTCTGTTGACCTCTGCTGAATTATGCCTGCTCTATACTAGTGTATTTGTAAGGAGAATCAGGCCCAATGTCTCAGTGGAGAAAATGTTCCAGATATGCAGAGCAATCAGGTGAAAGAATCATTAGAAACTCTGTATGGGGAGCAGAGAGAAGGGGACAAAAAGGACTGAAGAGAGCAGAGGATTTGGGAACAGAAGAGAAGAATGGAGAAGTATGACCCTGAGAGTCCTGAACACCAAAAGAGAACTCTGAATACGATGCCCGACTAGGAAGCAAATGAAAGAGACTGTTTTTGGGTGTGCAGAGAGGGACCGGGGGCTAAGCTCTTGTCCTTGGGAACAGGATAAAAGATAGGGCAGTGTGGCACGTTGGAGAGTAACTGGTTCATAGAGCTTTTGTAGGCACCAGCCTACTTTTTTAGGGGATTGGAGAGGAGCTTGACGGCAGCCAGGTTCTGAATCACCTCAAGTTTGGAAAGCAGGGATTTCAGAAGACCACAATTGCAATAGATGAAGTAAAAAAAAAAATGCAGACCGTTGGGTAATGATTTCAGCTCCACATGGTCAGAGAAGGGATGAATTCTAGGAAAGTTGTAGAGATCAGTGACTTACAGATAAGGAGGATGTGGGAGGAAACTGGGAATCTGTAGTTAAGGATGGGGACCCAGATTTCTAGTCTGGGAGATAGATAGTGGCCAAGTTAAGGACAGTGACAAGGAAAGCAAAATTGCTAAATAAAGAGCATTTTTACGTGAAAAAAACAAGCTAGTTTTTGGGCCTGATGCTGTTCACACCCTCTCTGCTGTAAATCAGAATCAACTCTATTGAAGCCAAAGCAGTGGCTATTTTAAAATTGGTGTAAGGCAGTGTGGGCAAAATATGGCCTGCAGCTGGATCTGGCCTACTAAATTATTCTATCCAGCCCACAGCATGTCCTTCAGCCCTGCCCAGCCCAGGTGCAGGGGGCAGCCTGGGCCATAGCCCATGTCCATTCTGCCCCTAGGTGCAGAGGTGCCACCTGGCATGGAGCACAGCCTACCCTATTCTCACGTGTAGCTCTTGGGCATGCCAGGAGCTATAGTCTGTGGGACTGGGCAGGACAGTGGTGGGGCAGGGACAGTGCAGCAACTGGACTCAGCTTCCTGGCAGCCCCTGCAGCAGCAGCACTTTCTGGATGCCAGTTCCAGTGTCTCTGCCACTGCCAGACCTGGCCCTGATGCTTGGGCATCCCGACCCATCTGCTGGGCACCCACTGCCAGAGGTGCTGAACAGGGTGAGCAGGCAGGCAGGGTCTTCATAGAGACTGGCCCAGGACCCCTGTGGGCAGGGCATGCTCAGCTGGGCATATGGGATAGGGCCATAGGCAGGTGGTGAGCAACGGCCGGGAGTAGGACAGGGGACAGGGCCAGAGCCAGAATAGTGGAGCGGTGACAGCATGGGGCTGGGGTCCCAGGGCAGAGCTGCGATCCGCTCCCCACATATCCCTGTGACATGCGTTCATTGCGCGGGCAGCGGCTGCCCACACAGTGAATTGGGGCATGGGGGTGGGGGGGCATAATTTACGAGGACTAATTATGAGGTACGCAGAGTGAGATGATAGTTGGAGGTGAGGACCCAGAACAGAGATCTACGGTGTGAACAAATGTCCAGCCAAGAAGGGAGTATGCTGTTGACAGCTGCATGAGCAGCAGCATGGAAAGCTGATTATGAGCTGGGCAGCTGCTAAGTGTGCTGGATTCTCACCCAGGCCGCCTTCCAGTGGAAAAGGACATCACCTAGGGGGAAGCCTAGAGAAACCTACATCACAGCCAGTAAAGGGAAAGGCTGCTTACACGGATGTTTGTTGATGCTTCTTAAATTGAATAACATCTGCCAGCAGATAGTTGGGGTTACTCTGTGACAGCTAGGGTCTTTCTTCCTACAGATAACAAATTGGGGTCTGGGTGCTGAAGCCTGTTCCACATCTGCTGGGGATCACAGTTATACAGATACTTTCCCTGGTGTTTCTTTAATAGCCTAATTGTGGGTTCAATTAAAATAACATGTTTGTTTCTAAGAGTGCCCAGTGTGTCTCCCGCACCACTCTCTGACAATTGCCTTGACTTCTAAGAATTCTTTGTAGTGATGCCAATCATCAAAATTAAATTTCATTAAATAGCTAATGTCCCCAAAGGATTTCCTAATAAAGCCTGTGTCTGTGGGTTTCTTTGTTCATTCGTTAGGCTGTATGGGAGTGCGCGGTACAGGAATTAAGACCTTCAGTCTTTCATGCAGGACAGCAGAACTATTCCCTTCCCAAACTAAAAACTAATTACAGGTTCCCCAAGTTCAATTTGAAGTTTAAAAGCTCAGAGCAACCTGGGATTGCACCTACTGCAAACCTTCTTCTGCCCAAGGAATGAACCACTCAGCTGAACAGCAGTCACATTTTTGAACTGGCCTTTGGACCATTTGCTGCTCTAGGGCAGGGGAGGTCAATTGTGGGTACGCATACCCCCGGGGGTACTTGGGAAGGCCCTAGAGGGTATGCGTGGGCAGGCGGGTGGGGATGGAGCACCTTCACCCTCCACCCCGCACTGCCACCCACCAGGAGCAGGGCAGGCAGGGGGGTGAGAGCAGTGGCGCCCCTCTGCAAGCTGCACAGGCACTGCCCAGCCAGCTGGATGCAGAGGGGGCAGTGGGAGGGAAGCTTGCACATGGCCACTGGCACCGCCACCCACTACCCTGAGCTCTGCCGCTCCGCATCCAGTTGCATGCCACCCCTTCTGCCCCCCCCCCCCCCCCCCCCC